GCCGCCGCCGCCGCTGCCGCCCGACTGCCCGCCGCGGCCCGCCCCGCCGCCGCCTCTGCGCCCGCCGCCCGCTGCGGCCGCGGCTCGGTCCGCTCGGGCTCGGGTCCCGCCGCCTCAGCAGCGGAAAGAGAGGGAGGCGGGAGCGGGCGCAGAGGGAAGGAGGCGGGAGCCTCGCGCCGGCCGGGAGGGGGCGGAGCGAGTGCCCGCCCGAAGGCCGCTCGGCGGCGCTCCGCGGCCGGGCGAGGTGCAGGCTGAGGGGCCGCGCCTCGGCCTCAGGGGCGGGGCGTCATCTTCTCGGCCCCGCCCCCAGCCCCGCCCTCACCTGCGCCGCGCGCTGGCCGAGCCACTGGTGGTCGCCGGCGGTCCAGGCTCTCGAGAACTGGGGTTCCAGAAAACCGGTCGTGGGGACCTGGAGGAATCGATGGAGGGTCGAGGAGGGCCGAGGAAGCAAGGAACTGCTTTCCTAGGGCCTCAGTATCTCCTTTGGAGAAAGTGGAGTCCTCAACAGGTAGCTGGGGGACTTACCGGTGAGGACCAAGATGAGATGTGCCACCTGAATGAAGACAAGAGTGACGGACAAGATGGGAAAGTGTGTGGGCTTCTGCACCGGGCGCCCTGCAATAATCCAGTTCTGAGGAACAGCAGACTAGAGTGAGGGGTAGGGATTAGTAGAGTCTCCAGGACCCACACAGGTCCCGTCTGAATTCTGGACCCCCAGCCTGCTGAACACAATAGGTTCTTGGTGACTAATGCTGCTTCCTCTCTTGCCTCAAAAGGTTTTGCTACCTCTGTCTCAGCATCAAGCCAGGTTAAACATAGATTTTGCCCTGAAGACATTAATTAGGGACCAATTTGCAATTCAAGTGTGAAGACTAATTTTAAGTTCAAGTAAAACGCTAGCTTTCTAAGAATTGTCACTTGAATACTGAACCCTTCCACACCACATATATCTAGGGCTTCCCTTGCTCTAGGCACTGAGCAAGGCACTTGGATAGGGAGTTAGTATTATTGCTATTTTACAGAAAAGAGGACTAAAACTTCCAGAGTGGAAGTGGTTTGTCCAAGGTCCAAGGTTAATTGGTGGGCAGAGCATAGGTACCAACTTTTTTCAAAGATGGAAGGATAACGACTAATAATTTATTCAACCAACAAATATTTTGGGGGCACTTACTGTGCGTTAGGGAATATGCTAAGAATTGAGAGAGTGCCAGTTCAATAGTTTAAATAGGGCTGGATGTAGGCTTTGACGTCTGCTGGTGTCAAGTATGTCTAGAAGTTGCGGGTAAATACAAGAACAAAAAATAAAATGATCAATTGAAAACTTTTTTTTTAAAGAGAGATTTTCTTTCCCTGGATCCCCTTCCAAACCCATGTTCCATCCTGGAGTTATGTTCTCTGAAGGAAGTAAAACAGAAGGTCTCTTAGCCAGGGATCACTCAGCACAATGATTACCCAACACAGACAGTTGAGAAATTCCACCTACAGGCACAGACCTTCCAATGAACTTTTTAGGGCCCTACTTTGAAATATAAATGACAACTAAGAGTCACCAAACATTTGAGAATGGCCTGTAATATAGTAGAGATCAAAACACAATAAAAAGTAAGGAGGAAATAAGATATATGTCATGAAATGTTTTATACACACACACATATACAAATCATTTTATATATACATCAATACATTACTGTATGTACATGTATATCTATATATAGCTATAGATAGATATTTGTATTTTCAGATAAAATTAGAAGATGTTGTAACATAAAAAATTTAGAATAATCTGGGGCTGGGCATGGTGGCACACAATTGTAGTCCTAGCATTCTGGAAGCTAAGGTGGAAGAATCACTTGAGCCAGGAGTTCTCAACTGGCTGGGCAACATAGCAGGACCTCATCTCAAAAAAAAAAAAAAAAGTGCCATGTGTGAGTGTGCATCCTATAATTCTCACTCAGGAGGCTGAGGCAAGAGAATCCCAAGTTCAAGGAAAGCTTGGGCAATTCAGCAAGATCCTGTCTCAAAATAAAAAATAAAAAGTGTTGAGGATGTAGCTTGGTGGAAGAGTTCTTGTCTAGCATGCATGAAGCCCTGAGTTCAACCCCTAACACTGAAAAAAAAAATTTAAAGAAAGAAAATGAGACAAATGATGAGAAAAATAGAGAAATAGTCCAAAAAATAATAGCATAAGACTTCCATAAAGTTAGAATAGAGGAAATGGAGAGGAGAAAAAATAAAATGATAATTCAGTAACATTCATTGAGGAAAAAAAGAAGTTTTTGATTTAAGGATCCACTAGTGCCTAGTGAATATAAGTGGACCCACACCCAACCCACTCAGACCAATGAGGCAAAGAGAAGATACCTTGAATTTTAAAAAAAAAAAAAAGAACAAAACAGGTTTCATTATAAAGAATCAGGAATCAGAAAGGCATCAGACTTCTCCACAGAAACTTTGGAAATCAGAGTGGAGCAAAGCAGGGCGCAGTGGCACATGCCTGTAATCCCAGTGACTCATGAGGCTGAGGCTGATGCAGGAGGAGCACAGGTTCAAAGCCAGCCTCAGCAATTTAGTGAGACCCTAAGCAATTTATGGAGACCCTATCTCAAAATTTAAACAAAAGATAAAAGGGGCCAGGTGCAGTGGTGTATGCCTGAAATCCCAGTGACTCAGGAGGCTGAGACAGGAGGATTGCAAGTTCAAAGCCAGCCTCAGCAAAAGCAAGGTGCTAAGCAACTCAATGAAACCCTGTCTCTAAATAAAATACAAAATAGGTCTTGGCTCAGTGGTCAAGTGCCCAGGAGTTCAATCCCCAGTACCAAAAGAAAAAAAAAAAAAAAGATAAAAGGGTTAGGGTGTAGCTCAGTGGTTAAGCACTCCTGGGTTCAGTCTGGTACCAAAGAGAGAGAGCGAATGAACAAACCCTTCCACATCATGATAGAAAATAAACCCCACCTAGAAGTCTGGTTCATCTGAGTAGAGGCCAGGTAGAGGGTTGATGAAAGACTCTTGGATGTGCAAAGATGCCTTCTTTCAAGATGCTGCTGGAGGAGGACACCAAAACAAGGATTTAAACGAAGACAGTGGAAGATAAGCAGGAAAAAGTGGATGCAGCAAGAGGGAGTGAAAAGGGACCCTAGGATGAAGCAGCAACAGCCACTGTGCAGCAGGGCTGGGGTCCAGATGGAGGGCCAGAGTCTTTGAGAGAGACTGCTTTTAGACAAAATTAAGAGTGTGTTTGATAGCTGGACTTCTGTAGTTCTAGCTACTTAGAATCTGAGGCCCAGGAGTTTGAAGCCAACCTGGGCAACATAGTTGAGATGCTGTCTCAAAAAAAAAAAAAAAAAAAAGCCTAAGTATGCAAGGCTCTGAAGTTCTAATCCCCAGCATCCAAAAATAAATAAAGTATTGGAACACACAGTAAAGAAAATACATAGTTTAGGGGTAGTTTGAGATAAATGAGTGATAAATGCTTAGAAAACTAAGCAAATGTCTATATTAACTTCCAGGAGAATAAAATGATGAATAGAAAGGGGGAAGTAAGAATGGCATAGCTCAACTGTGAATAGCATTTGCATAATTATAATGACATAAATAATGAATGCATAACTTACCTGAAAGACATACTCAGAGGCTAAGGCTGTAGATCAGTAGTAGAGCACTTGCCTCGCATGTGTGAGGCACTGGGTTCAATCCTCAGCACCACATAAAAATAAATAAATAAGATATTGTGTCCATCTACCACTAAAAAAGTATTTAAAAAAAAATAGGGGCTTGGGTTGTGGCTCAGCAGTAGAGCGCTCGACTCGCACGTGTGAGGCCCTGGGTTCGATCCTCAGCACCACATGAAAATAAATAAATAAAATAAAGATATCGTGTCCAACTACAACTAAAAAATAAATGTTAAAAGAAACAATACATGGAAAACATTATTTAAAAAAAAATACATACCTATATTAGGAAGAGAAGAAAGGGAAGTATGTTTGTCTGATAAGGAGAAGGGAAGATGGGCAAGAGACTGGAACACTCTTCATCCACCTAAGGAGATCAGCAGATGCTTAAATTGAAAAATCTAGTGTAGCAGTATATGTGTTAATTAAACCTACAAATATAAGACTGGTGCAGTGTGGCAGCCTCTAACCCCAGCAACTCGGGAGGCTGAGGCAGGAAGATTTCCAAGTCTGAAGCCACTTAGCGAGACCCTGTCTCAAAATAAAAAGTAAAAAAGGGCTGGTAAAGTGCCTCAAAAGAAAAGAAAAGGAAAAAAGAAGAAATACAAAAACTAGTCGGTTAAAAGAGTTAAGAAGTGTTGCCTCTGGGAAGCAGGAAATGTCATGGCGATAATGGGCCTTTTAGAACTATTTGATTCTCTTAACTATGTGCCCCTGTTACTTTGATAAAAATAAAAGTTGGGCTGGGGGTGTGGCTCAGTGGCAAAGTGCTTGTCTCACACATGTGAGGCGCTGGGTTCGATCCTCAGCACCACATGAAAATAAATAAACAAAATAAAGATATTGTGTCCATGTATAACTAAAAAAAATTTTAAAAAATAAAAGTTAACTTTAA